TTACCAGCTGGGCTTAAACCACGACGGTAACATTCTCTTTTCACTTCGTAATACAAATATTTTTGGGAGCAATCTACTGTCAAGTAGCTAATTAACTACTTCTTTGTCAGTGGAAGCAGTATGAGAAATGACAGTGAGCTATGCACATAAGCATGTTAAGAAGCACAGTTTGCCATCTAAAAAACGGCTAGAAACCTGTTCCTTTTCTCTATAGCTAATTACAGAATCAAAGAATCATTGAGGTTGGAAGGGACATTTAGAGATCAACTAGTCAGGTTTAAGCAGGACCAGCTACAGCAGATTGCCCAGGACCATACCCAGACAGGTTTTGAATCTCTCCAAGAATGAAGACTCCACAACCTCTCTGGGAAACCTGTTCCAGTGTTTGACCACCTTCACAGCAAAACATTTTTTGCTTGTTTGGTTTTTTTTAATGTTTTTTGTTTTTTGGTTGGTGCTCCTTGACTTTTTTCCTGTCAGTGGGCATTACTGAGAAGAGTCTTTCCGTATCTTAATTCCGTTTCAGCAGGCATTTATACACATTGGCAAGACCCTCGCTGAGCCATCTGTTCTTCAGACTGAACAGTCCCAGCTCTCTGAAGGTCTCCTCATAAAGTGAGAAGCTCTAGCCCCTTCATTGTTTTCATTGTTCTTCACTCAGCTCGAAGTAGTAATTCTTTATCTTTCTTGTACTGGAGAACCCAGAATTGGACACAGCACTCACTAGTCTGTTGTGCCTCACCAGTGCTGGTCGCCTCCTTGACCTACTGGCCACGCTCTTCATAAATGCAGCCTAGGATGCTTTTGGCCTTGGTAGCTGCAAGGCAGCATTGCTGGCTTTTTTTCAACTTGGTATCCACCAACAGATCTGGTTTTGACAAGCTGTTTTCCAGCTACTCAATCCCCAGCATTCATGAATGCCTGGCATTGTTCCTCCCCAGATGCAAGACTTTGCACCTCCCTTGAACTTTATGAAGTCCTGTCTGCTCAACTCTCCAGATTGTCATTATCCTTCCAAATGGCAGCACTTCTATCTCACGCATCAACCACTCCTCCCAGTTTTGTATCTCCTTTGAACTACTGAGGATTTCTTCTGCCCCATCCTCCAAGTCATTAACAAAGAATCTAAATAGAATTGGCCTCAGCACCAGTGACTTGCCTCCAACTGGACTTTGTGCCACTGTGCCAACACACTGGGTCCAGCTGCTCAGCCAGTTTTCAATCCACCTGCTCTCTGCTCCTCTGACCTACACATCAGTGGCTTGTCTATGAGGAACTTATAGGAGACAGTGTCAAAAACCTTACCAAAGTCTAGGTAGACCACATCCACTGCACTCAGCTCATCTACCAGGCTCAGAGAATGGTAATCTGTGGAACAAAGTCTAATTGGAGATGAAGAACAAGCAGTGTACCCCAGGGGTCAATAATGGGTCCGGGCCTGTTTAACATCTTAACAATCTGGATGATGGGGCAGAGTCTGCAGATGACACAAAACTGAGAGGAGTGGCTGATATGCCAGAAGGTCATGTTGCCATCCAGAGGGACCTCAAACCTCAAAAGGCTGAAGATATGGTCTGACAGGCACCTCATAAAGTTCGACAAGGGGAAGTGCAAACTCCTGCATTTGGGGAGAAACAACGCCACACATCCATATATGCTAGTGGATGACCAGCTGGAAAGCAGCTTGGCAGAAAAGGACTTATAAGTCCTTGTAGACACCAAGCTGAATATAAGCAAGCAATGCAACCTTGATGAAAAGACAGGTAATGGTATATTAGGCTACATTAAGCAAAATATTGACAACAGATTGAGAGAGGTCATCCTTCCCCTCTATTGGTGAGGCATCATCCGGAGTCCTGTACCCTGTTCTGGGCACCTCAGTGCAAGAGAGATATGACCATACTGGAGCGAGTCCAGTGAAGGGCCATGAAGATGATAAAAGACTAGAGCATCTCTCCTATGAGGTAAGGCTGAGAGAGCTGGGACTGGTTAGCCTTGAGAAAAGAAGGTTCAAGGGCAACCTTATGAATGTGTTTAAATGCCTGAAGGAAAGGTGCACAGAGGATGGAGCCAGGCACTTTTCAGTGGTGCCCTGTGGCAGGACAAGACATAATGGGAACAAACTGATATACTGGAGGTGTCGTGCGAACATCAGGAAACATGTTACTGAGAGGTGGCTGAGCATTGGGTTTTGCCCAATAAGTTTGTGGAGTCCCCATCCTTGGAGGTATTCTAAAACTGTCTGGACATGGTTCTGGTCAGCTGGCTTTAGGTGGCCCTGCTTGAAGAGGGATTGGGTAAGATGACCTCCAGAGGTCCCTTCCAAACTCAACAATTCTGTGATTCTTCCATTTGCAAGTATCAGGTCACACAGGACACCTTTCATAGGTGTCTCCTTGATCACCTGTGTTGGGAAGCTATCAATGCTTTCCAGAAATTACTTGTGCCTTGCTGTGCTGTCCTTCCAGGTTAAAGTGTGGCTAAAGTTCCCTGTGAGGACCAGGGTCTGTGAATTTGAGGATTTTTCCAGTTGTTTGAAGTAGACCTCATATACTTCTTGCTCCTGATAAGTCCATAGCACATACATACCCTCCACTACAGTAACCATATTGCCCTGCCCACTGATCTTGAACTGTAACTTCTCCACTGACTCCTGACCCATTCCGAAGCAGAGCCCCACATATTCCTTCTCCTCTTGCACAAAAATTATAACATATCCCACCCTGTCACTTTCCCAGCCAGTACTTCAGCTGCGTGAACTATCCCACCATTATTTCTGTGATGCCAGTGAGGTCACAGGCTTGTAACTGCACACAGACTCCTCATTCCTCCTCCTTTTTTCCTAGGAATGCATACCCAGGTTACACTTCACATAATGAAAACACTGAAACTTGGGCTTAGCATTAATCCTTCAGTATGTATGCCCCAGACACCACTTTTTTAGAAGATTTCATCTTCAAACATTGCCTCTTACACATGGTGCTTAGGTAGGAGCTCCTAGTGAGGAGGTAAAAAGGTAATGATATAAATAGCTGCAATTGCATCCTTGAATCTAAGAAGGAGGATGATGTCTTTTAAAAGTTTGTCAATATAAATTCTAATTATTAGTAATGGCTGACACTTTGCAGTAGCTTAAAGAGTTGTTGGTCAATTTCAAATTGACCAATCAGTTTAAAATGCCATTATGACAGAGATACTGTAAAGCAAGTCTCAGTATTCCTGAGACTTGAATGCAAGGTAATCACTTGCCAGATTTTGCCAATCATTTGTCAATGGCCGTTTCCTTCCATAGCTTTAAGCTGTGAGAGGAAGCAATGTGTGTCACATAACAGAAACTGTTATGACTGACTGTAGACATCCCAAAACCCAAATCTTAGTGTAGCATGCGAGGATGGGTCCATGGAGGTGACAAACTCTAGCCACTGAGGTCTAAAGGAGAGTGTTAAACACCAGACATTCAGCTGTGGCCTGGGTGGCTGTACCTGCACCCATTTTCTTGAGTTGTCAGAAAGCCAGTGAAGCTCTGAAAATCACGTTTGACTTGGTCTGGGGTATGATCACTTACAGCACTGACTGTAAGCATTTTCTGTTTTGTCCTTTGAAATATAAAATTGACCTTATATTTGGAGCTGCCTTACATTCATGCCAGTGCAGTGTCTTCATATAATCTGCCTTTGTTGTCATCAACAACAGTGAACTAATCTCTTTAAGATAATCTGAAGGCAGGTTTTTGTCTTTGGATTTAGAGTGGTAAATAAAGGAGACCATGATTGAATGGGTAAAGGAATAAACTGCAAATAAGATAAGAAATACCTACAAAGAAGGTGGGGTTTTATTTCTATTTTTCTGATACATTAAAAGATGAAATTCTGAATGACTAGCACCATTTCTTTTTAGTTTTATTCCAGAAAGAGTTGCCCCTGAGGATTTACATTTGCATGTCCTATAGTGAGAGAGCTAGGTCCTTCTGGCAACATTCACTCTTGGGAAGGTACTTTTGATGGTGCACCTGCCTAAAGGGATGACAAATGCAGCTGTGCTAGTGCAGTCTTCTACTGTCCTTCACTCTTGGGCCTTTGGTGATCTCACATGGACTCACCTAAGGCTTCGTCGGCCAGATGAGGTGTCGTGTAAGTAATATGATCATGTGGTACTGAACCACAGCTGGAAAACTGACTGGACGTACATCATGTTTGTGAAGATGTCTGTCCGTTTACTAGATTATTATTTTCTTTTTTTTATGGGTAACTGTCCTCCTGTGTTTTCTTTGTACAATTAATAACAAAGGACAGTGTAATCCCACATGTCATAACCAAGGCATTTGAAAGAGGAAACAAGAAATGTGCCATCAGTGATATTCAGTCTACTCATGATTGCATGGCATGCAGTGCTCAATATGCGAGATTTTAGCACTCTAAACTGTCTATGCTTCCCTTGGGCACTTTGGTAAAGTAGATATCCATCCACTTGAGTATGGATTACAGGTTTTCATGGAGCTTTTGACAGATCTAGGCACTCTTTCCCAGAAAAGGTGTTGCTCAACATCAGTGGGCAGCTACACTCATACTCCCCACCTAAACCTTAAGACACAATACAGCTTTCACACATGCTGAAAAGCTGAAAACAAGATGCATAATTTATGCTAGCTCTAAAAGGGTTAACAGTTTTGGAATGTAGTAGGTGTAACTTAATTAAGTTTAAATACTAACTAGGAGAAACTGAGACAGATTTGACCCTCTCTTCATATGTACTATCACGAAATACTTAGTGGTTTATATATGGTAGGAATGGAAAATAAAAAGCTTACTTCTGCATCTGTATTATTTATTCAGTACCTTCATTTACTTTACAGAATCTGACTGTATCTTTATACCCATGACTGTGTAGACGTTTTTTACGTTTGTTAACAACTCTTCAATAAATCTCAGTTTTATGATATTTACAGCATTATAAAACAGAACAGAGAAAGTTTTAATGGACAGTAGGTTCACAAGCATTACCAATGCATGTTCTTCCATCTTCTGCCAGCTTGTAAGGATCAGTATGGAGACATTTATAGCTGCCTTTAGTGTTAATGCATTTAGCAGAAGGAGAGCATGGTGGATTAATTTTGTTTTCACATTCATTGATGTCTGCAAAATGAATACACAGGGATCAACAGTCATTACAAACTACAGAGAGGGATTACTACCTTATCATACATACCTTCTACGGCAATTAAATGTATTGTACACTTTCAATGACACAGAGATACTGACAAAGAACTTCATTGTTACTGTTAAAAGTACAAAGTGAGGGGTTGTTTGAGGGGTGTAGGGTTTGTTTGGGGGGTTTGTTTGAGGTTTTTTTTCTGCAATTGGGAGAATTTTCAACAATGCAAACTGTAAACTTGAGAACACTTTTTGCATGTGTTTATGTCCTAAGGCTTTTAGTTCCTCTATAAAGCTTTCCCCATACTGTGCTATACAGAGACACTGAAAATAATGACACTGACACAGCTTTATATATTTCTGGTCATGATTTTGAGGACAAGGATTCAGATTAGCTTTGGTTACAAAATTCGTAACAGTAATCTGTGATATCACTGCAAAGACAGTTGTTTCTAGATGCTATACAAGTTCTGTGAAATGACAATATCCTGACCGAATACTGAGCAGAAGAACAATTATCCGTTGGAAAACGTACATAAACATACTGTTCCTGAGGCCGTTCAAAACCTTTTACTCTCACATTCTGATTATGGGTTGAAATGGGAGACAGTGTGGAGTGCAGGAGAGAAAGTACTCAGTGAAGGAAAGAACAGAGTCTTTCCCATATTTCTGCATCTTTCTTCTTTCTGTGTAAAACTTATTTGAGGACTGGATTCAGTTGCCTAAAGATAAGCGTCCAGCTCTGTTTTAGATAATTTCCCATTGGTTTTGTACAATATTTTCCAGCTTGTTTAATGTCTCTGAACCATGGTCCTGGAAGCACTGCAAACCCGTTTGTGGGCAACAAGCTCAGCCTTCAGTGTCCTCTGGTTTTGGTTATAATCCTTTCCTTTCCTTCCCTACCACAATGTTGGATCTACTACTTCAGGCTAAGTAGCTCTTTTTGATCACTATTAGAAAATGACCCTGTAGGAATGATATCCTGACTTAGTTTAGCATTGTCACTCAGACCACTTAGGGAATTCTATCATTGGAAATAGGATTAGCCTGATCCTCCCCTAAATTTTAATACAAAGCAGTAGCTGTGTCCAAAGCTAGCCATCAAATGAGATAGTCAAAAGACTGATCATTCAAGGAATAATCTTAAACTTCAGAATACTTAAGAAACACTAACTCTAATAACACCTCTCTAAAGCAGGAAAAGAAGTTGTTGTTCTGGATGAAGATTCCTGAATAAGTATTACTCCCTTCAAGACTAAATTTTGGGTTAATTCCCACTGGCTTTATCACCATCTGGGAAGGAAAACCTGCACAGGCTCTGCCTGCACTGTAATTCAAATACACTATTTCAGCTTTTGTGGATCCATAGTCATACTGTTAACTAGCTAACTTTTTTCCACCACTAAATAGTGCATGTCAGATCTTAACAGCTTACCCTATGACTCAAAGAGAGCAGTGCGTGATTAAAGCAAAATAGAGTTATCTATCAAGAGTAAGACAATATAAACAAGGTAGCATAGTCTAGCTCTGAATGACTTGCTGAATCAATAGAAATTATTTCTGTCAAAGCCAAAGTTAGTAAGCAGAAATTAACAGCTCTCAGATTCCTATGCTTTCGACAGCAGGCCACTCTGTCTTTTCCAGAGCAGCATATAATTTTGACACCATCTGCAAAAATGCTAAACTCTATTCTCCTCATTATATTGCTTGATTTATTCCAAATTTGCTAAACATTTAAAAGAATGGGAACACATTGCACAGACATGCATGGAACAAAGAGCTTTCTACTGTAAAACTCAAGTAGCATCTGCATAAGTGGGTTTTGATGGTTTTCTTTTAATAAAGGCATTGCTTATTTAATGTATGCAGCAGCTTGTGTTCCTATAGCAGATATACAGTCTTTTGTTTACATTACTGAACATATTAAAAGAAACTAGGACAAGGAATGATTCATTCATATAACTTATTTATTCAGTTTTCTGCCAGAGCATTAATCTATTCAAAAGATTTTATTATAATTCATTTAACAGCTTTATTTCTTTATATCATATTTATGTGGGTGGAATTCAGTGGATAAATAGGATTTGGAAAAGGAAAGAGCTGCAAATTTCATGATTTTTTCCATACCAGGTATACAATTAGAATGAATAGCTTTCTATTCTGCTGTCACAGAAATACTGATAAGCAGACTATTACGGATCAGCTGCAGCACTTGCATTCAAATTAATTTACCACCATCCATAATATACTCCTAAATATGGCCTTTTCAGGTTTTATGTTCACATATGTTCTTATAAAGCTGAGCAGTTTGAGTGTGTGTGTATATATATATAAATACACATATACACACACACCATTATAAACACACACATTTCAAAATATGAACAGAGAGAATTTATTCTTCATAGCTGTGGAGGGTGAAGGCCTTGTAACAAAATATTTACAATATTCTCTTTCTTCCCATCACTTTCTATTCAACAGTAAAAATAAGACAAAAAGAAAAGAGAAAAGAATAATTAAAATAACAGAAAAGCATTCCCTAAAAAATGTGCATGAAAGTTGAAGGACTATATATTTTTACTGATTTTCACCTGCTCTGTCCCAGATGGCCATTGTTTGTCTTGCTTTTATATTGCATGTAGGTGGAAGCAATATCTAATCCTGATTTATTACCTTTTTTTCCAACTGGTTGCTAATAGACTCAATTTTTCTTGATTAGGTGATTTTTAGTGACATTTTCCTATCATCTACTTGATTGCTGAATCAGGATGGGTAGAGCTTGAGACAGCAATTCTAGAGGAAGGGGAGTTTCAGATTATCATGTTATTGTACCTATAAAACCTGAAGGTTGGCTACAAGAGGGAAGGAGTTGACTACAAGGAGGGAGTTCACTTCTGTTGAGCTGTGCTGGACTTTAGCTTTTAGAAAATTCAAAACCAACAAAAAAAATATAGATACCTATACAAACAGGAGCCTCAAAGTTCCATCCTTTACTTGTGCAGGTTAATTGCTCTGCGCCTTGTAATTGAAATCCATATTGGCATGAATAAGTCACTGTAGATTTTCCAGTTTCTGAACAATATACAAAATCACCATTTTCTACACTCTTTGGTGTTCCACATACTTCCTCTACAAATAAAAAGACTGTATTACAAACTTTAAGATAATTACCACCTTACCCTCGCAAACAGACATTGGACATTATTCTTCATAACTGCTACAAATTAATTTCAGTGAAATTATTTGTATGCTTTAAGGTGATCAAGAATGTAATTGTTCATTTCTGGACAATAATTTATAACGAATACCTCAAGTTTGGCTTATAAGCTTTGTAAAATTAACATTATCTTCTAACAGCATGTTCTGCACAGTTCTTAGTTAACATTTTCTTTCATGTAAGAACTCCTGCCTCAGACAGTTGCCATAATGTCTGGGTGTTTCACAGTCCATTCATGTTATCAGAATGAAGTTGAAAAACACTATATTACAGAGGAAGCTGAGAAAGGAGGAGAGAAATACCTAGATCACATTTTTAAGTGGTAGAAATACTAAAGATCTGCATTAGACCAGTGATTCAAGACCTGCCAAAACCAAGGTCAGTTGTCTAACTACTCTCCTCTCCCATCAGAAAAGATTGGTAATTACCATATTACCTTCCTGATAAAATTCTTTCCAAGCTTCTAAATTCATCCCAGGTATATTAACACAATGCTTAAAATCCTGTGGAAACTTTCCAAGTTGAAAGGCATCTGCTGGCACTTCAGAAATTCCTGTATTATCACAAATCACGCGGGACAACGAGTGTTTCTTGAGTTCATGCTTTTGAGCTTCTGTGAAAACATTACCATTTTCCCACCAAAATCTAGAAGAAACATTTTGAAAATATCAGATTCAAAGAGCTGACTATTCTTGCTTTCATAGTACCCTATGTAAAAGACCAAAAAGTATTAAAGTTAATGTAGGTGGATACAATAGTAAAAGTAAACACCATGATCTGTAGACTTAAATACCCAGCTTGAAAGTCACAAAAAGGCTAGTATGAGCCTGACCTATTGGTCAACTCAGATAATGTGTTAAAGTCAGCTGGTTAAAACTATTAATCAATCAGTCATATTTGCAAAATTGTTTTTCATTGATGATAGAGGGCCATAAAAGTTAGAATCCTGAGAGAAAAACTTGGAACTGGGTGCCTATTCTTACGCACACCAGCATTCACCGTGCAATAATAAATTGTTTTAAGCATAACTCACAGGAGAATTAAAGGAGTAGCTGTAATAGATTTCCCTATACCATAGTTTTTGAATTCTGCTTGCCATTACTGAATGGTTCTTACAAAACCAGGTATTCCTGAATACTCCTCTGTTTAATATGGAGTTCTTAATTTGCTAAGAAAACTTTAGATATGCAGATTAATTATAGCAGAAAATTGTAAGACAGTAATTGTGCATTTGATCATACAAAAAAGCAAACGAAGAGGACTGTCTGGAACAAAAAGGAGCTACTTTTTCCTTTTTGTCTGATTGGGACTGCAGCACCAGAGCAGAAGAATCAGTTGGTGCTACCAAGGTGTAGCTGTTATGTATAATATATGTGTGTGCACACACAAATACATATATGTTTAAAGATAAAAGGAAAGGGAAAGAAAACACGGGTAAAAAAAAGAAAAAGAAGATAAACAGTATCATGATGTCATGAATGGCAAAATACTATTTCTGGAGAATTTGATGGCATATATGCATTAGTACATTAAACAGTGTTAAGCACTGCTAAAATGCTAAGATAGTTCTCTGTGGCACTCAGGCCAATTAGGATTCTCCCAAATGCTAGGCAGGATTTGTGGTAACATGTCCTAGGACTATTAGCAGTAGAGTATGGATGTGTTCACATTGTACAAATTGACTGCAGGTTTAACACAGGACTCAGCAGTCCATAATACTGGGGTAGTATGGCTGGAGTTTCTAGAAAAGCCTGTGGGTTTTGTGTTTACATTTTTCTGATCGGAAGCAAACAGCAGTTTTGACTCTGGACTCTGTGTAAACCTGATGTGTATGAAGTGTGTTAGTTTTTTTATGAGCCATGTGATATGATTCTATGCAAATGGGAAGTCTGATAGTCCTGTTTGTGTTCTGGGCTGCTGTTGTGCCCTGGAGGGGCTTTTCAGGGCAAAATGGACCTTGCTCCAAGAGGAGTGTACCAGTCAAGTAAGGCAAGTGCATGTGGAATTTTGGAAAACTGTAGGCAAATGGTTACCTACAGCAGGACAATTTGGGGAGAAACCTGTCCCACTTTACCTATACCGGAGGGAGAGGAAATCTACAGAACCAGGGATGGAGTGAATGTCCCACACCTTGCCAACACTTTGACAAGAAATACAGGAGAGATGGAGGGGCTGAAGAGAGGAAAGAAAGAAAAATGTCTTCCTGCTACCCCTCACATGCACATGGTCCCCAGACTTCTCAGAGCATCCTGAAACCTCGCTGACTGTTTGCAGACCTTTTCCCATAACCAAAGCAATCAAAGACTTGGCTCCACTCAGCTCTCCTACACCTGTCATTTCCCCTTTCATGTACACTAAAACCTATTCTAATTCTACTTTCATCACAAAATTCAGTTTTATATACACTGCTGAGAAGTCTTGAGCAGAAAATTATTTTTAATCTAACCATCAGATAGGTCTTTACTCTAGCAAAGGTTGTTCTGATTGATCTGTATCAGGTGAATTTTACAGCATTAGATTAAAAAAAAATGAAAGTGAAAAAAAGAGGCACAAGCCTCCCTATTCTGGATTGACAAAGTCAGCTCCAGAATTTTTGCCCAACTATTGCAAATCCTATGGTCACAAAAAGATTCAGAGTAGAAAGAGATGGAAAAAGAAAATCAAGACTGATGGAACAGAAACAATTTGTTCCAGGTGATTTGGCTGAGGTTAAGACAGTGCCTGAATTTAGTACATTGGAAAAAGAAATCCCTTCATGTTCTGTCAGATTACTGACAAAAGATTTTAAGTCTATCAGAATGGAGTTCAGTCAGTCAAAAAATCCACTTAGTCCTGATTTCTGGACTTAAACAAGTACATTAGAAGGGACATTTTGAAATCTCTACTTACTGACATGTCAATTAATGTATCTAGTAAGCATGTAGAGCTACTTGTGCAGATGTAGATAATACTCTATCAGACAAGGCACTGCAATGAATGCCAGACTTTTCCATTCTTGAACTTATTGTGTGACAACTACAACATGCGGGTCATAACTTCTCTTAGTTCCTTAGTATTAATGACAGAATGACCACTTTACATTTAAGTTAGCTGACACAAAGTTTGTGTCAGAAACTTGGGGAATTATTTTATTACTAGACTTATCTTTTTCTCAATTTGGAGTTAATATATTAAATTATACTTGTTTAATTAATGCTAGTTGTATTATAAGACACTGAATAATAAGCAGTATCATAAGGAACAGAATAATGGAAGTAAAGCTTGGAAGGACTTTGATAGATTATCTTTCCCCAGATAGGGTCAAGTATGCCTGTGTGATTCAGAGGACTTTCAACAGCATTTTTAACACAGCTGAGTGGAATGTTTGTTATCTATACAGTTTGTGCTAATAAGATACCACCTTTATGATTAACATCGTTTTTTCCTGTGAGCTAATTAATTAACATTTTTTAAAGTTCAGATTTAAATTCTGCCTTGGATGCTTATTTACATAAGAGTTTCTTTCCACAACAGTGACTTATGAGAGGAGCTTAAAGGTGAGCATGAGGACCAGATGTACTTAAAACACCACTGGTAGCATGGTGTGAGCAGTTTAAAATTAGTCTTCTCATGAGATTCAAAATCACTGCACAAGTACATGCTGGAAATAAAAAAAGGTTGATTTTATAATTGCTTCAGGAGCAGAAGTAAGATATAAACTGCATCTTGCACCCTTTTGTGACCTGAAGCTGCACTTCTGCCTTTCTGGGGTGGAGGGTTGTACTGGCACAAGATCCTGGTGGTGGTAAGTGCAGGGTTAGGTGAAGGGATATCCTATGCGGTGTCCAATGACACAATTCTGGGAGCACTCTGCAGTTCCTGTTCACATAAGACCAGGTAGGTGTATGGTGGTTTTATTATTCCCTCTAGGATGCCTGAATTACAGCTCTTTGCCTATCCTTTCTGACTTTGCTCTGGTTGCCATGGAAAATGCTGAGGTTCTTCCAATTCCTGAGTCCAGTGCAGCTGTCAGGAACTGCATAGTTAAAGCCTGCACAGTAGTACCTCCATCCACACAGAAGTTAGCTGCCCCTGCCACAATTAATTGCTGGTGGCAACTTGCATTTCCACTAGGAGTGCAAAGTTGGACTCCTCACTACCACAGAAACAATCTCCATGTTATGTGCAATTGAGCCTACATACAGACCAAGAATAATATCAAAAGTTCACCCAACGAAACTGAAGGAGCTAAGATAAAAATATGGAAGTGGCAGGGAATAATTTGTTTAAAGCATATTTTGTCTTATGTACTAGAAAGTATCCCCAAATATCTGTAAAATCTCCATTGCTTCTGCTTTTTTACACAAATGCTTCAACAGCATGAATAAACTCACCGGTCACCATCCCTTAGTGCTTTCATTTGCTTTCCAATTATACACGCAAAGAGGGGACCAGTTCTAGCACCTGGAAGAAAGTCTTCTACAAGTCCACCAAGCCAAACATCAATATTGCTAGGGTTGTGGTACAATTCCATGATTTTTTTAGTGACATTGTGATTGGTTATTACTGTATTCAGGTCAGTGTGAGTTTCCAGTTTTGGTAAGCCACAGAATTCTCGCCAGTCGTTATAACCTGTAAGCATTTTGTGAAAAAAATTAGACTTGACTGTTAAGCATGATATATGAAATTAATAAATTTAAGCACTGGATTCTGACAACCCTAACCATAGTCATAGACAGTTTTGTCTAAAAATAGGCCTATTATTATTGGTTAAATTGATCAGGGAAATGATGGCAGGATCTGAAACTAGAGAATGAATTTCTGCATCATTCTCATGAAGGTAAACAAAAGCTTAAAACAATTCTCCCATATTTAAGCAATGAAAACATGGTAATAGATAACAGGAGCATGCAGTATGTCTTGAGATTTCCAGAGCAGGAATACAGGAGTTAGATGAGAGTGGGCAGGAAGTAACCTGAATGAAGTTTGTAACTAAAGCACTCTACTAAGCAGTGTCACATTCCAGGGCACATGTCCAGCTGTCTGGAAAACAGATTTCTTTTACTTGCCTTTACATCATGGGAATTAAACTCCCTGACATCCCAACAAAACTTTAACTTCTGGTCTAGGACATCAAGCCTCCATTTCTACCTTTGGATAGCCAAGAACTTTAAACTCCAAGGCAGAGTCAGACTTCATTTCTACTGTCCAGGGCCAACAACTTGCGTATTCCTAGCTGTGGAGTCATACAGGAGAAATGGACAGAGTTGTCACCTAGAGACATAGCGTCATTTGACAATCAGCCAGTCCTATCTTCATGACTAGCACGTCAGGCACAAAGAACAGAAAAGCAAGCCATGTTTGTTTCTTAATCATATAGACAAATGATCTGCTCAGGCAGCAGGGCAGGGCACCTCTAAAAATAAAAAGGCACTGATTGCCATGTGGAAGATTGCTTATCCTGTTCTCAGAAGCACACAGAACTGGCAACTTACTGTATTTTTTTAAGAGCTGATGCAATCAAATTGAACTAAGCTCCAGCAGTCTTCCTCTAAGCTAGTACACCCATGGCTTGATGGGCTAATTCTCCTTGACTGTTAGTTCAATCTTATCCTGGACTGAATGCACTAAATAATTTAGTGCAAAAACCAGGCACAAATATGTAATATTACTTAAAATGAGTTGTACAGCTAACTAAGCCATCTGCGCCACACCTGGAGACATCTCAACACCTCCTGTGGTTAGTATAGCCAATGAGGTTGTGTCTAAGTTGACCTGTCCCACAGGCTGGGGGCCGCCCGCCGATGGCAAAGGGCTGGTGCCGGGCCACAGGGGGGGGGGCCCCCCTGCCGATGGCAAGTGGCTGTTGCAGGCAGAAATCCCACTCCTCTAAAGCTGGTTCCAGCAAGAACAAGCCTTAGGTACCTACAGTGAGCACACCCAGATCCACTCACTAGTACTGTCCTTCTAGACTCCAGACTTAATAGATTATTTTAATTTCAAATGCTGTGGAAAATTTTGTTTCCATAAAAGTTGAAAATATTATCAACTTACATTTAAAAAGAAACTGAAGTTACTTTTCTGATTACCAAAGCTATTATTTAAAATCTTAGGATTGTATCCCAAATATAAACAGTTATAATTCAGTTACCAGTTGGAAGAAAATTCAAGAAAAATCAATAGACCTGGGAGACCATGATCACGGCCACGCTGTAAATTTAATGATGATAAATCGAGTGAACCATTATTGGACAGCACAAACAGTTTTTCTGTTAACTCCTCATTCAGCAGTTGATCTTGCACCTGCAGTTTTGCTGAATGTGCTAGAAGACCCCTTAGTAAAGGATCCAAGCCTCCTTTAAACACAAAAATAATATAACATTACAGCACATATATAAACCATTATAACTTTCTTAACATACGTGAATGCATGCATGTTTCCATGGTTTTTAAACATTGGTCACATAGCCTTTACATTCAAACACATGCAAAAATCTGTTTCAGGTTGAAAAAGGAGTAATAGTGATATGAAAAGGCTCCATTTTCTTCTTAGTGTGTAAGAAAATTTGCAATCTGATAATACAACAATCCGCAAAAAAAAAAAAAAAAAAAAAAAAAAGAGATATTAAATATCTTAATCATCAGTCACCAGTCTATTGTCATTCTGCCAGACTGGTTTAATCTGGAGAGTAACTGTTGTCTGATTCAGACAACTATTTAACTCAGAATAATCATTCCAGTTCACATTAGTACTTTGGAACCCATTCAACAACTTAAATCAATGATGCAATTAAATAAATGTTCCTATTCCTAATTCAAGATAAGTAAATTACAATACTCTGGAAAAAAACCCCAAACATTTTAAATAAAACCATACCTTCTTTAATAAGCCTCCAAGGACTAAAGAAAACTTCATGCAAATGAAGATTTGGGAGTTCTGGATCATCTAAATACTGTTCATTCAATCGCCTTACTATTGGTTGGATTGTTGCATGGCCAAAACGAAAGGCAGCTGTTGAAAATACATTGGAAACTGTAGGATTCAGTGTGGGATCATAACCTGCATAAGGGCCAATATACAGATTAAAAGCATCTGGACCAATGATTTTGGGAATGTAATCTCTTAAAGTAATAATCTGAAAGAAAAGAAAAAGAAACATTTATAATTCAGTGGGTTTATATATGAATAGTTATGATTCCCAGGTGCTAACTGCCTTTTTCTTCATTCATCTATGCACAAGCATTTGGCGTGACTAAGAGCAGTGTTAGCTGGTAAACAATATCAGTCTTTTTTTTGCAATAAGGAGACAAACGACAGAAGAGAATCAGTGGCACAGCTCAGCACAGTGCAGCAATCAGGCCCCTGTTAACTCTTAGCATAAATGCTAGACCAAAGTCTCCTGAGCAGAGATTACCAGTGTTGCTACTTAGAATACATGGGAGTAATCCAGCTCACAGGAAGTGTGCTGAGATTTAAAGCCTTGATTGAGATGATGTAAATTATAATGCCCTTTAAAATGGCAAAAAAAAAGCATGAATTACTACAAAGTCTTTCAAAAATGCTTGTATATATGAACAGATTCGATTTTAAGATATATAATTATGACTCAAATCCTCTCTGCTAAATATTCGAAATGATCAGGCTTTAAAATTCTGGTGCCCAGAATCCCTTGATAGACATCTTACGCTAAACTCAAGCCAATTTATAGATTCCTAAAAAACACACTTTAAAAATGAAAATGCTGATAAACACCTTCTGTCAAATGATTTTATAAGGTAATAGTATTACAGTTACATGAAAAAAATCATGTGAGTAATCATGGAAAAAAAAAAGGGGGAAAAACGATCTAATGTACCAAATAAAATGAAAGTGCATTATAGGTTAAAGATCATGCTGAACTCAATAAACTGTAACAGGATGAATATGAAACATAATGAAGTCAATAAAACACCTTATAGATTCGGTTTAGTATGCAATAAAATATACAGACAAATGTACTTTGAGCTTGATATAGTGCATATTGAAAAGCTAGTTGGCATAAAATGACCTTATGAAAAACTTGTATCTTTATTTTAGGCATGGCACAGAGACAAGCAAACCTCTCCAGAATTTGCTCGCTTTTTTTAGAAGGCAGAGGTAACTACCTCTTTATGTTTCAGGCTAGGTCATGCACTGAATAAAATATTTGAAAGACAATAGATTAGAATTTTTTTTACATCTTCTTTAATACAGCATATGAAGAAAATAATTGCTAGAAATTCATACTGACACTGTCATTTGAGAAGTTAACATTTTGCTACATTCACAAAGGTTTTGCAAGATGAGAGTTCTAATTCTAGATTTAGAGTTAGTTTTTACAAGCAAAGACTTCAAATAGAACTAGATTAGCCATAGACAGAAATAACCTGATATGACTGTAATTTTTTGATTCATTGTAAATAAAAACCTGAGGTAAGCTGCTCATAAAGGCCAGATTCACTGAAGCAAAGGGCAATTCAGATTTTTCATTTCATCCAAAGGCAAGATCTTCATTTCTTGTTTCCTTGGTGGGAGAAAACAGGTTGCCATTTCCAGATAATGAAAATCAAAAGGCTAAGGGTCTAAAGGGTCTAAAGGGGTCTCATGCCTGCCTCAAGTTAGGAGAGGTGTCTGTTTGGTGGAGTTAGGAGAGGCATCTGTTTGGTGGAATCTTCCACTGGCTAAATAAGGCTCCATCAAGTAAAGGTGATAGACTAAGATGTTACTGATACAGCAGATGATACTGCCAGAAATAATCTGGATTCTGATGGAGAACCACATTTAAAGAAGCATTCACTAGTTTTGTAGTCTCTGAATGTACCTTGCCTGAATTTGTCTGCGTGAAGTAAAGGAGAGCCTTGCTAAAAGTTCTTCTAACTGACCCATGTATAAGTTTTAAAAAGGTGTAAACAGCTGACAAACATCAAAATTATTTCCATTAAAATTCTTTTGCATGCACTTCTTGATCTGAGAGAATGATTTGAAAGATTTGTTTCCTTTCATATTTCAATACAGTGTTCCTTCAACAACTGAGATTCACCTGTGGAAACGAAGGAACATGCTTGCCTAAAAATACGTCAATAAAATCAGAGCCAGAAAGGCAGTATATGGAAAAGAAATTGAAAACAAGTACAATGAACTGCTCTACCATTTATTCCTTGCTTTGAATCTACTTATGAATACTAATTTTCAGGTGTTTGCAGCAGCATAAGGGATTTATGTGTATATAATGGGTCTGAACCTGCAAGGTTCTGGCTGGACTCAACTCCTTGTGGCATTTAAGAGATTGTTTGTAATCCAAGCTCCTCCTAGAATATGTTCAGCATCCTGTAGCATCAACTCCAACCTCTGTAGAAGCCTCATGAAGAAATTAATTTTAATCAATAATGTCAATATTTCTACTGTCTCCTGGCAGTGATTGTTTCAATGGTATAATTCCATTAAAATGATAAATGGATACTGTCTTTTAAATGGAAGCCTATATGCTCAATGTTTAAATTACTTATTACTTATATGACCAGATAGTAACAGAGCGATTAAGATTTAAATGATGTTCAGTTAGTCATATCAGAGAAAATAAAATTCTGATTTCCGAGCAATTAATCCAATTACTTGCTAAGTAGCCAGACAGGAACAGAATCTGAGTGATTACCAAGACTGTCAAAAAAGGTTCTGTGCAAATTTTACATCATATAAATCATCTGTGCACTGTTTATAGGAAAGTAATTGAATCCTGACCTGCAAACACGATAATATTCCAAGTTAAACAGGCTGTTAGCTTGAAGTTCAACATCCCTCTCATTCAGAAGGCAGAATTACAGGAGGGGCTCCCAAGTGTCCCTGTGAACTCAGCAAGCACCCTGGCTGGGTTTGCCTCTAGGCTGGGCCTCCTCCAACAGAAGTCAGCCATACATTAGATATTTGGAAATAGGTTACATAATTTCAGATTATTTTTGAGAATTTCTTGTTCATGTTAAAAGTTATTTCAAATTTGGTGCAAAAAATACAGAAATTCATATCACTTTTGGTAAGGTTCGGCAGTCTCAGCTTGTCAAAACCCCTCCAAAAGTGTGAATGGGGCACAATGGATGGATAAAGGAAAACTAAAACAAGACTGGAAGAGACAATATAAAAATACACGAAATGTCATAAGAATAAGTGACCAAAAGTGAAACTCATTTTTGCCGTTGGCCAGAGAAAGGAATAGTATCTCACTTCCATGCAAAGGAACAGTATCTCGCTGAGGTAGTGAAGAACCAATTAAATGAAGCTCCTCCACTTGGGAAAGTTCACAGAAATAATAGAGAACAACAAAACATAACATGATATTTAATTCATTAGAGTGCTATGCACAGTTGGTTTGAAGTTCTCACTGTAACTATTTAAGGATTTACAGATTATGCTGTCCTAAACTTTTATGTAAAGAGTGATTATATAAGAACTCTATTTTTAATAAAAAAGGAACACATTATAGTTCTGTTAGTAGTCTGAACTACTCTACAATGTGATACTCTATAAACATGAGTTATCACATTGTGCAACACATTCTTTTATAACATCTATAGTTTATCTATTTATCCTTTATAATTTCATAGAGTTTAAGCTATGAAGAATTATCTAATATTGTAAGTTCACAAGAAGTTTCATCCAAGTAAGCCATGCTGAACCCAATAGTTGTAGTTAAGTTAACATACGTCAGCCTCAGAAGACACCCATTTTCAACCCACACCTTGGACAATGGCAGAGAAATAGAATGCAAGATGCTCAGAGAACACAAGCAGGTGTAGAAGAAAGTGGAAAAACACCTATATACACACAAAAAATAAACGCAGTTGTCAGCAAAACAGGAATAAGCAAATCAAGTAGATAGTGTCATTTCAGTTAGTAAATAACAATGAAAAAATGTCTTTTTGCACAAAACTCTAGGTAAACCAGCGTATGTATTTTTACACTGTATACTGCAGCGCTAATACTTTAAACACGTATCATTCCCATAAAACACAAGGGGAGAGTTGACCATTGTTGTGGGTTGTATAAACTACTACTTATCAGTGAAGCACATCCACAATGCAATGAAAAAAATCTGTTTTTTTGCATGATATCAACAGGCAATTGTTATGTTTGGTAACTTTGTCAAGTTTCTATTATTAAAAGCTTGGCACTAGAGATATTTACAGTGCCAAAAAAGCCTCCAGGAGAAAAAGTATGTCTAGAGAGATTTTTTAAATTCTCCTTATTCTAGAATGAAGGGAAGGCTTTTTGTTCAACTCTCTATAATTACACAGCCACAGGCAAAAATTATGTTTGAAAGTATTCTTTCCAAACAGAGAGAATTTTAGAAATGTGCAGCAACTGAAACAAAATTTTATAGGGGAAATCTCAAGGTAACTTCAACTAGAGCTGTCATTAGTGTGCTGGTTAGCATATCACATTAATAGAGATACTCCAATTATCTCCCTTGAATGAATGTCTCTAAGTCAGCTACATATAACTCAAACACATATCTAATGAGCCATAGGCAAATCTCATTAGCCTGTGATACTGGCAGAAATAATGAGTAGCCTGGATTCATGTAGTGGATTGCCTTGCACAATGTGTTTTCTTTCAAGCCATAATATTACTGGACATAAATCAGAAGTGTATGAATGCTCAGAGACCCACTTTTGGATTTGTACTTTCTTCTAACAAGTATTAACAACCATTCTGACTTGTGAGTGCCATTATTTTAATGCAAACAGCAGATTTACAGAAGAGGAGCAGACATGGTTAATGTAAACAAAACACATATATTGTTCTGGTTTAAGCCCAGCCCGTAACTCAGAACCACGCAGCCGCTCGCTCACTCCCCGCCTTCTTCCTTCCCCAGCTCCTGGAGGGATGGGGAGGAGAATAGAAAGAACATAACTCCCATGGGCTGAGGTAAGAGCAGCCCAGTAACTAAGGTATAATACAAACCACTACCGCTACCAATAATAATAATAACAGGGGAAATAACAAGGGGAGAGGACACAACCACTCACCACCCACTGACCAATACCCAGCCTGACCCAAGCAGCCATCTGAGCCTTCTGGGTAACGCCCCCCAGTGTATATACTGGGCATTACGTGCTCTGGTAT